TTTTTAGCACCAAACGTTCTACGGGCATTGCCGGGCAATACCTGCTAGTATATAATAATTTAGTAATCACACGGGTTATAAATCAAATATTGATTAAGAAACACAAAAAAAATAAGAAGAAGAGTATACTTAGCTCTACTAGGCAGATTCTAGTTCACATCAGCACCTGCGAAGAATCTGCGAAACATTATTAAATGCGGTTTACTTCGTCCACTTTGCAGGAAACTGCGAATATCCCATAAGAATAAAATTATCGTAATAACATAAAAATTTGTTAAAAAAATAAAATAATATCGATAGCTTCTGATTAATTAAATTTGTTTTAAGTGAGCAGTAAATGCAAAATACACCCAATATCATTCTATTTTCTCTTCGAACTCTTTAATTTCCAGCCAGTTCTAAGTCTAAGTTTCTTCGGATCGCACCTGCTTAAAGTTTGTCACACATTTATGCTGCATGCGCAGGACTGTTGCATATTTTTCCTGTGTGCTGCTTTGCTGCTACGTGATTTATGCAACGGTGATTAGTGGCACAAATCAATGGGGAGGCAGCCATAATTGTGGCCCATTCGGCAAATCAATTGCACACTCCGTAGCCGATGGGAAGCAACAGGAAACGTCAAACACTTCAGATGGCAAAAACAATGTGCTCAAGTGGCATGTGGCATGTGGCATGCGGCATTCGGTATGTGCCATGCGGCTCTTGGCATGTTGCAGACATGTGGGCGTTCCACATGGTACTATTAGCAACATGTGTGATGCCATTGTTATCATTGCCATTGTCAACAGCAACAACAACGCTAACAACAACAGCTGAGTGGCTGATGCACAAACAACAATAACAATAACAATAACAAGGCCAACAATGCGTTGCCATCTACAAATAATATCGCACATTTTCAATGCTAGCAAAATTAATGAGTCCAGCGCCGACCGGAGTTGCTGCCATGTTAGAAGGGCACGCGGTGCAACACGACCACGCCCCCCGAACTTTATAAGCTTCATGAATTTGTGCAGCGTACTTTAAGAGTTGACAGCGCTCAGTAATGCAATTGCAATGGGTTTTTTTCGATTGAAACCTCTAAATAAATAGTCCCTACTAATTCTTATCATAATTGAAAATATCAAAAGTTAAGAAGAGATATAATATTCAACATGTTCTACAACATTCAGATCGGAACACAAAATGCATGGACGTTTTAGACATAAACCTAAATAGACAATGACATAAACATAAATATATAGAAAAACTTTAAGATTTGCGTTCCTTTCCTATATCAAATATTTCTTTTTTCTTAACTCTCGAAATAGTTCTTCGATTGACATTCGAGATTAATATATCACAAAATTACACAAATTAAACACCAAATATCGGTAAAAGTCGTATTTTATTATGTATATTATAAGACTTAGTCCGTATGCAAGTAAATTGTTTTACTATTATCAGAGATTTACCTTAACAAATAAAAAGAAAAACTTGATCAACTAATCTGACTGCTGATCAATCAATTTCTGAATGACCTGTTACTAATTTAAATTGAATTTGGAAATAAAAAACAACATTTATCACTTTTCTCTTCAACAAAATTTGATGCTCCTCGAGAAACGTCTTCAAAAATTATCACAGCGCCAGCTTCGTAAGCTGTGGAGTTTATAAATCACCAGGACTTAAAGCCGGCCAAGCCCACACTTTTAAAGATCCTGATCCACTCAACTTTTTAACAGTTTTTAATTAACTAATTAATTGTTAAATTTACAATAGAAAAATGTGAACGTCTGACTTTCAAATTTTACAATTATTATCTTGGGAAAATCATTTTTTGTAGCAAAGATTTCGTTAGTTATATTTATTTCAGAGCTATAAATGCATTAAATAGTTTAATATTAGTTATAAGAAATTTCAAAGTACAAACTTAAAAGAAGTTTACCTATTCAAGGACGATTTATGTTTTCTTCAAACATATAACAAATTCATATATATGAATATATATCTATTATATATAAATCGTGACTATTATTAATGTTTATTCTCATTAAGCCCAATTTTATTTACTTCGATTGTAATTTTGAAGCTTCTGTAAATTCATTGCTTTATTTCTGTTATTTGCACGTAAAAATTAAGTTTTTTTTTTTGAATTGAAAAGTTGGCATTGGCTCCACAGTTCTCAGGTTGTAAGTGCAACACATGCATAAATTAAACAACGCCAAGCGTCGCATGGAGCCCAGCAAGTGGGTTTTCTTGTGTGGAGCAGGTGCTGAGTTAGCTGGCGGTGTTGTTGGGCAAGCGTGCATGTTTCCTATTATCGATACAGTCAGACATTATCAAGACACACACACACACACACACACTCGTTATCACACATACAGATGAACGGGCGCATGCATAAAACATGTCTCGGCAGTGTGGCAGCAAATTGAATCAATAATATCCAATCATGGGTTAACAATGCGAATTGATTTCTAGGTGGCATGCCACGTTTGATATGTAGGATGCGTCAGGTGGCAGGGCCTGAGCCTCAGACATATGCAAACAAGACAATCCAAAGATAACAACAACAACAACAATCGAAGCAGCTGCAACAGTAAGAAAATCCCAATAGTTCCTACTCTCTTTCACCCATTCTAACTCTTATCTCTCTCTCTCTCTCTCTGGCACACTATCTTTGTCTCAAGTGTTCATGTAAATATTAATTAAGTTTTGGCTTTTGTTGCATTGGCTTTGTGTTTTTGTGCTGCCGGCCAAGAGACAAACAGGACATGAATTGTTGCATCCTGCAGCAGGTGTAAGCATCTGTGTTATCAGAAATATTAGTTGCTTAGTTAGTTGGCTGCAGCCCTTGGCCTTTGTTTAATCAACTTATCTAAAGCTCGGCTGCAGCCATTCCATTTAATTAGTTGACAAAGGGTTTCATTTAATTTGACACTAATTTGCTCTCTACTTACTTGTTGTTGTTGTTGATGTTGTTGATGTTGTTGTTGATACTGTGGCTGTTTGCAGTCTTGTTTATTGAGCGTCAACGGAGATTGCATAAAGCTGTTTACTGGCTGCAAATATGCACACAAGTTTTGACTTTAGTTCTTAAGTTAATTAAGTTATTAAGTCTTAAAGGTGACTACATAAATTGCAAAGAAAACTTAAGCCTTTACTGGCTTTCTTTTTTCTCAATACTAATAGTAATAAAAGCTTTACCTTTCTATACCCCATATATAAATATATTAGTATATAATATATGCTAAAATTTGAGATTTTAACAAAGAATTTTTTATGTTTAAGTATAAAGCAAATGAATTTAGTTACTTTTCTTAATGTGTAAAATGCCAGCGCCAGCAATTTTTGATTGCCAAAACATGGACTTATTGTAGCACCAATTGAGAACAGATCGATTTATTTCGATATGCCTTATCTGTCTAAGCAATTTTTGAATGAAAATGTTTTAAATATATTGTCCATTTAAATAAATATATGTTGCATCAGTGGAAACTAAAGTTGCTTTCCAATTAATGATTGGAAACAAAATATAACACAGTGCTGTATAAATTTAATGATATATATATATATATATATATATATATATATATATATATATATATATATATTTGTTTTAGATAAACAAATTATTTTTTTTCTTTTTAAATTGTATAATATATGCTCTATGCTCTATTAACAAGATGTTATTTTTTTCCATTTAACTTTAAGTTCAATATGTAAACTTCGCTGCTGAATACATAAAAAACCCTTGAATATAAATCGTCAATTGACTTATTCAAATAAGGTCCTTTGCTGTATTTTACTAAAATTATATTGCCAAGGTTCAAATAATTGCTATTATATTATTATAAATTAAAGTGTACAAATTTAGTAATTTGTATGTCTTATCATTTGTATAGGGTTCAATTAATTCAGGGTAACAATTGTCGTTATTATATGTAACTATCTCTATATTTATAAAACTCTTTGTCCTGACAAAATGACTGACTGACTTTTTGAGTGACTGATTGGTGATGAACGCATAGACCATACCATAAGAGCAATGAATCTGAAATTTTCACTGTAGTTACCTTATGTGACGAAGGTGCAAGTTAAGAAGGGGGTTTAGGGAAATTCCACCCAGATTTGTGGAAAATAACTTCTTTGCCTTCTGTTATTCATTGGATACTTAAAATAAAAAAATAGGATTCTTTTCTACACCTAGCATTAAAATTCCACTTCGTTCTTTTAAACTTCTAAGTGAATGTTAGTTGGGTTTATTCAATATAATTTTTAATTACTTAAATAAAAAACTTTCCCCTAAAACTGCATTTATTGAAAATATTCATGCAGCTTAAGAGCTCAATTTCAATTTGCAACTCGGTTGAGTGCGCAACTTGCAGTCATAAAAATTATTCCAATTGCCAGTGCAATTTGTAAAACTTTGGCGAATGGTGTCGCCAACTGCCGCGAACTAAAACGACAACTTTTCCCATTTTCATTACAAGTTTTCCTCAATTCGCTGGCAAGCAAATGTAGCCTGCATTTAAGATTGTGCCTCAGCTGAATTTGCATGAAATATTACGCATACGCAGCGAAAACTCTGCTAATTGTCGCATAATTGAGGGAAACTTGAAAGATTTTACAATATCAACTTTCGTTTACATAGGTTAAGATAACAATTAGCTAAGCAATTAAGAACTGTATGAACAAACATGAACCTTTAATTTGCTAAGATATTACGAATTGTAATAAATTTAGAGAGTAATAGATTTGATTATTTTTGCTTGATATTCGAAAAACTGTTATAAGCTGGTTGCATTTCTCGGGAAGATTATTAAAAACATTTATAGGCTAACTGAAAAACAGTTTGAAAAACAAAACTAAAGCCCAATAGAGTCAAACGAAGAATAGACAATTTAAGAGAACTAAAGCAACATTTATATGTTGCGTTAAGTCTTTAAAGGGATGCATTCAATTTGGCCATTTTCCTAAACCAGCTTAGTTTAGCAAACGATTAAAACTCTTGTTAATCTGTGTAATTTATGTATAATTTGGACCGATCAAACAAGAGTAAACGTGTATAATTTGCACTTAAAGGTAATCACTATCTGGCAATGGTGCTGGCTCCGGATGCGTCTCATCGACGCCATCAACAAATATCATAATTACACCCAGCACCGGACGCAGATTCTCGGGCATGTGGGCATTGTCTCCGCCCAAAATGACCACGCACGGCTTCCCGGTGATCACAATTGGCAGCAGCCGTGTCACATACTGCGCCAACCGATGCAGATTCATGCGCCGCATCTCTAGCGTAGTCAGTCCCTCTGGCCAGCTATCCTCGTGGCAGCAATCCAGCAGTATCTCCATTAAATGCATGGGGCAACCGCTGGCGCGCAGACCCTCGCGAACCATCAAGCGCATCGGCATGTCCGGCGTAGAGATGAGGCTGCCCCAAGTGCGCACCGAGGCCAGCGGCAGGCCACGACCCCAGCGCATCAGCGCATACCGATCCAGCTGGTCACCTACAGTACGGATGACAGGATTTGTGGCGCGCAGTGTCGCTATATAATACTGCAGCAGTTCCAGCTCGCGCCTGTGCTCACCCAGCCGCCGCTCCTGGTGTGCCTGCATGTCGCGCAGCTCGGGAATCGCATTGATATGGTCCTGCAGCTGTTGGCGCAGTTCGAAGACACAGTTGTGTCTGCTCAGCTCATCCTTGGGCACCCTCATGCCACAGCCTTTGGTGCACATGACGACTACCTTTGGATTGTTCTGGCAGTGGGCCACATGGTTGCGGTATTCCTCTAAAGGCATCAGTGCTGTGCAGCCATTCTCTGCGAAGCAACACTTGATCTTCAAGCGTCCAAGCATGTTCCGCATGAGACGTGAGACGGGCACCAAATGGATGGGCAGTAAATCGGAGCGATCCACCGGACAGATTTGCTTCTCCTGCATCCACTTCTCAATGCAGTAGCGGCAGAAGGCGTGCTCACAGCTGGACGACTGCATGGGCTCCTCCAACACATCCGCACAAATGGGACAGAGGAGCTCCTCATCGACATGGCCAACGATTAGCGCCAGATCGTAGCCCATGGTTAAGTACGTAAGTGTAAGTATGGGGTTTATAAAACTTTGTGCTGAAACAGGTGCCACTTGCCCTTATGCTGGATGTTGCAGATAGAAATATACGATTTTTCATAAATTTCGATTCAAAATGTGAAACTAATGCCACAGTAGGTACACTTAAATTTTGCTTTTATTTCAAATAAAAACAAAGCTTTTGCCCGTTCAAATATGTTGCTGGCATTTACAGTTATTTGAATGTTTCCTATCGATTAATCGATAAAAATAGTTTTCAAGCTTTTGCGATAACCACGAGTTAAAATCTTGCATATCGAAAGATCTATTTAAAATTAAATTGTTTTATTTAATTCTAGCTATAAATATGGTATTGCTTGTACTATATTTTATAGTTGAAAATTCTTGATGGAACTTATTCGTCTGTTTCGATACTTCTGTTGGCAGTTTCTATTCCATATCGTTCCTTTCAATATCTCGTCAATTATATACTCTTTTTAATACACAACTTCATTCAATATATGTATATGTATCTAAATATAAAATAAACTGTCCTTTCTGCAAATTAAGTCTCATTTACTGCACTTTCCATGCTATTATTTTGCTTATTGTGCTTGTTTACAATTTCGTTGCGAATGGCAAACTAGAATCATTTTGAACTGAGATTTCCAAATGAATTAAAATAGCAAATTCTGTCAATTTTGTATAAAAATTCATCACAGATCAACTCAACTGCCGGCTGCGACGCAACTCTCATATTTCAAAACGAAATTTATGAAAAATCGAATATTTCGGCTTCTGTCTGTAACATAACACGTGATAAGGGTGAGTCGCGGCTGCATCATCTCCAAAATTCGTAATTTCTAATCCCATTTATTTAGCGATAATTATTCTGAACCAACCATGGGCTACGATCTAGCGCTAATCGTTGGCCATGTCGATGAGGAGCTCCTCTGTCCCATTTGTGCGGATGTGTTGGAGGAGCCCATGCAGTCGTCCAGCTGTGAGCACGCCTTCTGCCGCTACTGCATCGAGAAGTGGATTCAAGAGAAACAGATCTGTCCGGTGGATCGCTCCGATTTACTGCCCATCCATTTGGTGCCCGTCTCACGCCTCATGCGGAACATGCTTGGACGCCTGAAGATCAAGTGCAGCTTTGCGGATAACGGATGCACAGCGCTGATGCCTTTGGGAGAGTATCGGAACCATGTGGCCAATTGCCAGAACAATCCAAAGGTGGTCGTCATGTGCACCAAAGGCTGTGGCATGAGGGTGCCCAAGGACGAGCTGACCAGCCACAATTGCGTCTACGAATTGCGGGAACAGCTGCAGGATCAGATCAGCGAGATATCCGAGCTTCGGGACATGCAGGCACACCAGGAGAGACGCCTGAGCGAACATCGACGTGAGCTGGAGCTAGTGCAGTATTATGTGGCGGCGCTGCGGTCAACCAATCCGGTAATACGCAACGTGGGGGACCAGCTGGATCGCTACTCGCTGATGCGCTGGGGACGTAGCCTGCCGCTGGCCTCGGTACGCACTTGGGGAAGTCTTATCTCTACGCCGGACACCCCCATGCATATGATGGTGCGCGAGGGTCTGCGTGCCAGCGGCTGTCCCATGCACCTGATCAATGTCCTAATGGACTGCTGCTACGAGGACAGCTGGCCGGAGGGACTGACCACGCTGGAGATGCGGCGCATGAATCTGCACCGGTTGGCGCAGTATGTGACACGGCTGCTGCCAATTGTGATCACCGGGAAGCCCTGTGTGGTCATCTTGGGCGGCGACAATGCTCACATGCCCGAGAATCTGCGTCCGGTGCTGGGTGTAATTATGATATTTGTTGATGGCGTCGATGAGACGCTTTCGGAGCCGGTTCCACTGCCAGACAGCGATTATCTCTAAGTGCAGCTCGTAGGCGTTAATTCGTGTTCGATCGGTCAAAATTATATTTGGGCAGAAAAAAAAAAAACAAAAAAACAAATTTGCTGCCAGTTCATTTGAGTTCTGCTTCCGTTTGATAGGGATGCGCTTAAACAATGTTGCATGTGTGTAAAAATTATACCATCTAAATTAACTACACAATTTTACTCTTTAACGATTGGGTAGCACGAAAAAAAAACGCATCGATGCGGGGACAAATTCAAGAGTGCAAAATTCGAAAACTATCTAGAGGAACCTTTCGGGAATCAAAACACTTTGTACAAACAAGCTGAATATTTGGATTGTATGCAACGAATTATATTTGATTTGAGCTTTTTTCGAATTTGTTGGAATTTCAATGAAATGTTTCTGAGATATATTGGGTAGTTTATTAGCCATTTATAAATATTCAATATAAGTTAATACACCAATGTGTATATTTACCGAACATTTACTAAAATTAAATCAGCAAACAACATTTAAGAATAACTAGTTTTATAAATTAAGAAAATAAAAATGTAATTTAAAAAACTTATTAAAAGAATAACGATGAAGGAAATGTGATATATGACGAATAAAAATAATTCGCTGCTTTAACAAAACTTTATTCTATATTGAGAAAAGTATTTTCTCAACACGAAATAACCTAATAATAATAAATAATACTAAAATAATAAAAATAAATAATATTAAAATAATGATATAAATCAAAAATCGTAATATTTTTACTTATGAGCAAGCACTTATTGAATAACATAACAAGTAAGAGGTTCTAGTCGGGAGCTCCCGACTAGGGGATACCCTGAACCCTCTTCTTCCGACAGGCGATAGGTATAAAATGAAAAATACTTGACTTATATATACTATTCTAGAAGCTCCATGTCAAGTTTGGTGACTAGCTCATATTATTTGCCGAAATTACTCAAAAAACAGGATTTCGATATCGATTTTTATCGATTACTTGGAAACGGGGCCAGTTATCGAATATCGGAAGCAAACTCGATCTTCGCGGGGACTAGGAGGACCTACAGCTAATTTCAAGTCTCTAGCTCTTATAGGTTCCTTGCGTTCATACATACGGATGGATGGACGGACAAACGGACGGACAGACGGACAGACAGACGGACATGTCTAGATCGACTCGGCTATTGATGCTGATCAAGAATATATATACTTTATGGGGTCGGAGATGCTTCCTTCTGCCTGTTACTTTCATTTGCACAAATACAATATACCCTGTTTACCCATTTTTAATGGGTTCAGAGTATAAAAATAGATTTAATAGATTTAACTCTTTTAAAAATGTATTTTAGTTTTTGATAAGATTGAAAAGTTGCTTCTTAAGATATAAATGTAAAACATCATTTTAAACTGCGACTTTTTAAAATATGAAATCCTTGTAGAACTCAAATTAATAGAATGCTTCAGTAAATGACTAGGTGGACCACCCATTAAAAGTTGAAAAACCGATCATATTGCCAAGATAGAAGTCAAACAAATTTTTAATTCATGTGAAACTTACTAAGAATGGCAAGAAGGGAAAAGCCATTGCATACATTTTCTTGACTTATTTCCATAGACAAGAGGCTGAAAAGCCTTTGCATATTTATGGCAACAAGCTGCAGCGGAAGTTATGTAAATTGGAAAACTTGTGGCTCAACAGAAGGCGCCATAAACTAAAGCGTTGCCAACTGTCATTAGTTTGTCTGCCCTTGTTGTTGTTGTTGTTGGCAAAACAAATTTAGCAAATATTATTTATAAAGTGAAATTTTAACAAATTAACTGCGAATGGGAATGCCACAAAACAAACAAATAAACTAGCCCAAATGTTACCTTTTCCTGTCCCCGTTCCAATGCTCGCCCACTGAGCATATCATATGAATAGTAAATTTTGCACAAACACTCAAGCAGCACACAGGCACACAAGCATGCTTGCAATAGCATATTGTAATGTCAAAATATTTACACAATATCAAATACACACACACACATTTGTGTGCATTTGGTTTTAGATTTCATTTCGTATTGCCCATCCATTTGGATATAAATTTTCATGTTTTTCCTCACTTGGCATTTGGTATTGTGCGCATACTTTTTGTGACAACTGTACGTAACTATCTTCCGTTTACTTTCGTACTTGTGTCAAACTTTAACAGAGCTTCGCTGAATTGCAATTTCAGTTTTCTATGCATCTTATGTATATTGAAAGCGACCAGAGCTTCAAATTATCTTTAGCTGCCAGCTGGGCCTTACAATGGGCTTATGTGGTCACTTTGGGGCTAGGGAAATTGCAGCGAGATCCAAACTTGAAGTTATGTGCGGATAAGAAGCTGCAGGCGTTTGAAATGAGTTTTATTATGTTTGACATTTTTAAAAATAGCAATATATTTGCCTTTAAATGAGAAGGATTAAAGTGATGCAGCTTGCAGAGCACAGCAGAGCCTAAAATAAACTTATTCATAATTTTTAAGAGCTGTTTGTAAAGTAACATGATTTTAGGTTTTAGAACTTTTAAGAATATTATTCATATGATTTTTTTTTTTTATATTTAAGTCTTTAAACTTTTCTATATTTTCTAATGTTTGTGATTTCATAAAACTATTAACTTCTTTGCACTTGGTTTATTAAAAGTTGGTATATTATTAATAAAAATTGGGTGATATTTTTACTTATGTTTCAAGCTGTTTATTTATTTTTGAAATTTAGCCAAGTTACGTTGGCTAACTTCTTTAGAATTTCTTAAATAAAATCATAGAAGCCACACAAACTTTAAGATTAAATAAAAAGTGTTTAATATAACGCGGAAAAGCTGAAGGTTAATTTGAAAAAGGTTAAGTTGAAGCTCAGCCAACTGTCTGAGCATCAATAGTTTGAGCCAAGATATTTATAAACTTAAAGCTTTCTTAATTCGCTATTTCTAATGAAAACTTAAAGCTCTCATATTTCGCTGGAATACAGCACCTCTTCTACAAGCTGTTATTTCCTTTCACAACTTATTTTATTCGTTTATTTGCGTACCAATTTCAGCTAATATCATTGGACATTTAATAATTAAACTTTGCGTTGAATCTTAACTTTTCGACTAAATTACAAATAATTTAATGAGCAGCTTTCGAGGAACGCTTTAATCCGTCATAAATTAATGCCCTAAACGGATTTTCAGATCATGCTCAAATGCCATTTTTGGCTGGTGAAGCGTATTAAAATATTATCAACAATTTTCGTTTGACTTCGTTTTCGATAAAAACAAGCTGTTAGAGACAATCGAAAGCACGGCCACTGAACCAGGCTAATTTAATAAGTCAAAACCAACACAAACACCCAAATTTACGCAAACAAACAACAACAAGAACACACAGACACACACACATGCGGCACAACAATATTTTTCCAATTGAACTGACGCCATTTAATGAAAATCAACACTTCCGCTATGCTAGACATGAACGTTTATGAACATGGAACATGCCACAACTACAACTTCAACTAATAACCTGTGTGTGTGTGTATGTGTGTTTAAGTGTGTGTCTGTGTGTGTCTCTATGTGCGTGCGCGCGTGTGTGTGTGTGTGTAACGAGCTACAAATGCTTACCACAAAATGTATATTTGCATTTATATTTGTTGTACTCGTCGTGTTGCCATTTTATTGCAAAAAGCGAACGTGACACATTCGCCTCAAGTTTCCAACCCGCCTTAATTCACCCCCGCGCCACGCCCCCCCCCCCCCCACACACACACAACCATAACATGATAATCATTACAGCCTATACACAGGGTATGTTAGGTAAATAACAAAAAAAATGTTTAAAAATTAGTAAATGATGCAGAATATCGAATAAAATAGGAAATAGCAATAGTACCTACATATGGATACGTATATGTCGAGATAAAAGAAGATGGGATTAAATAATATATTCACAATATTTTATTAGTTTACTAATCCATTATCCCTCCAGACATTCTTTCCTTTTTTCCTTTCCTTTTTTTCTTAATATTATTATTGATTATTCCCATTATCCTTAGAAGCATTGAACAATTCTTTATCAAAAAAGAAGAAAATTACAAATATTGATTGGAACTTTTTTTGGCTACTGTAAATCAAATAAATTAAAATAAATTAAATGCATTGAGTGATAATAATAATCAAAGCTGTCCCCAAAAAAAAACTGAGGAAAAACATTGAAAGATGTTTTCAGAATATTTAGAAAACTTTTTTTTTAGATATATAATGCAGGATATACTATTTTTTTCCCCCAATTTTGTTTTAATTTGTCAACTTACTTTTCAGTCAAGTATATAAAAAAATTTCCGATTTGTTGAATTGTAAATTTTGAATTTGAAGATATTTTAGCCTACTCGGTATATTCCTAAATACAAAACAATTTTCTTTGAACATAATTATTATACGGTGCCAACAAAAATAAATAGAAGTAAAGAAATACATTTTACAATTTTTCCATATTTTGTAAAACATTTTTATTCTGTTAACAAATTTGTGTTTTTTTTTTAATAACACATCCAAAGGTTCGTTTCATATCGTAGCGTATCAAATATACTTAAATAGCCGGATCCTAACTAAATTGGATTCCTACTACAAATAATATGAGAAAAAAAAGAAGAAAAAATTACCATGAATAACTATCATTTGGCTGCTGTCAGTGGCGCGTTGTTGTTTGTTCTAAGTTGTGCACATTACATGGGAACGTGTATGTGTACAAGGACCGCAGGACATGAGCAGTGGGTAGGCGAGGGGCTTGGAGGCACGTCAGTTGGCATCGGTACATTGCCAAGCGGTCACGTGCGCATTGTATGACCGGGACGTGCAATTTTTAGCTGGACACAAGCCGTGAACACTGGACGCAGGACCAAGGACAGTGCGCAATAAGCACAAGTTTTATGGAATAAAATTAGCCCGAAACAGAAACGCACAGACACAAGAAACACGCAGAACTCAGCTTCCACTGGCTGATAAGATAATTTTATTTGGCTGTTATTGCATAAAGTCATGTGAGCTGCGGAAATGAGTTGAACTGAAGTAAAACGTTACGTGACAGACAGCCGGAGCGGATACGTGAGCCGGGACCAGCAGGGGAATCGACACAGAGAGGAGGTGTAAATGGATTCTAATAAGATAATTGACTTGTTTGCGGATTGATGTAAGTGCTTGTTAAATTGGGGCTAATCCGAAGGTCGTTGGGCGTGTGCCCCAGAGGGCAGGGATGCGGGTAGTACTTTTTTTCAAAAATCTATACTCCAAAGTTCTTTCACTGTTTCCTTAAGTTCATAGTTTGGCTATGTGCCTAGAGGCGGAAAGTCATCTGGCTTAAAGTAAAAAATATAAAC